AAACCCCCGCCTCAAAAAAAGAGGCCCCAGATAAGTTTTAATGCTGCCATATCATTCCACTTAGTGAGATCTTTAATTCCAAGTCCCCCTTCCTTCTTTGGCTTCGTAATCCTCTCTCATACCTTGTATATCTTATTAATTATTTGATTAAAACATCATAAATTTAACGTTATGAACAATAAGATCAATATGTGACCACACTATATTTCGATCACATGGTCACAAGAGTAGGTCTTGAAGTAGAATAGTAAAGTAAGTGTATTTTTGATAATGTCCCGATTAAATTAACACTAAGATTTTTTTTTTTGGGTAAAATGGTATGATTCCATATGCACGGATATTAAAAAGGGAACATAACAAAAACGTACGACCCATATTAAAATTTTTACGAACAAAAATTAAATAATGATAAAATGGAAGTCTTAGGGAGGCAGTAGAAAAGTGGCTAGTGATGGTGTTTGGATTAATTAATTAATTAATTAAAGTACAATTTTTTTTTTAAAAAAAAGGACAAGATGTGTAGACTTGTAAGAGTCAAAGTGTGGAGATCGAAGTTCAAAGCACAAGACCCAACGCCTTGAATTGGCAGAGGATTTTCACATGGAGATGTCCGGCCACCGGTGATCAAACGGTTCATATTTCTATTTCCAAACCCAAACTTAATCAATGAAAATCAAATCTTGTAACTGAATTTGGTTGCTATATCCATTTTTGGAAATGTGATATTATAAATTTATTTGATATTTTTATCATGCATGATTCAAAACGCGCAAATAAGTTTTTTTTAAATACATAAATTATACATTTTTATAGTATGACAATGCACTCCTCGTCATCAAGCATTTGGAAAATCTTATATCAATTTATACTCGACGGTGGAATTAGCATTTTGGCACTATAATGTTAAATAAAATAGAATAATAAAATGTCGGGGGACACACTATTAAATAGAAGAGGGATTGGTCTAAAACATGACCCCGACATATCCCCCTTGAATTATGGACTGTTCAATTACACTGTTTGGCAAAATTAGTAAATTATTTTGTTATATACATCCGTAGATTTCTTAAATTCATTTTATTTTACTTAAACTAATAACAATATTCCCAATGTTATTTCCCCCTAAGCCACACTAAATTCCTCCTCACTGAATTCCAAGGTATTTTCAACATTCCGCTGGCCCTTTAAGCAAATTTAATGCCCCCTATATGACATTTTCCAATGTAAGTTCTTATGCTTTTTTTTTTATAACCAAGAGGTTTATTAGTTTTTGGATCCATTTAATATCCTAGATATAAGTGAACCTTTAGTCACCTAACTAATTGTTCATCTTTCTCTCCACCGCTAGAATCAAATCCAAAATTTTGAAGTGATTTTGTAATGTTTCAACCACTGGACTTTATATATTTCAATTAATATGTCAGTTGTTCTTTATATATTTATTTTTATTCTCTTTTTAATCTTATTTCATTATAAAAAAAATAAATATGAAAAGTTCTATATACTAGTATGCAATAAAAAAAATTAGAACAATTATTTAGATTGGATGGATCATATAACCATTCATGCACGGTCCAAGCCCATGACTTGCAATATTAAATTTATCAAAACCGGAAAACACAGATAATTAATTTAGTTTCAAAGCAAACAACAATTGGTACCGTCAAATGGAAAATAACGAACGGTCAAGATGAGTCGATTCGGAGAATTGTGGGGTCTACATATCAAAGATTGGAAATCTCTCTGATATACGGTGGATTTTAACCTTTATGGGTCCCGCCAAACACCTCGCCAGCACACACGCTTAATTATTACCCAATTCTCCTCTTTCTTTCTTTTTTAATAAAAATATTAAAAGTTTGTCAGAGGGAAAATGCGTTACGATATTTATCAATATATATATTTTTTAACATAAATAGTTTTATATATATATATATATATATATATACACACATCTTTGTGAATGTGTATTGTTTATCGAGGAAAATTCAGTAATTGTAATTTTTTTTATTATATAGTTCAATATTTTGATCTTATATTTTTTTTTCAACTTAACAGCTGAGCTTGTTTTTAATAATAAGTCGATGCATATTAAGAAAAACAAATCCCAACATACAAAAAGAAATGATAATATGAAGGGAAGATAGAAATGATACAGAAAGCATAAAAATAGAAAAAAATAATAATATTGATTTCGTTGAAATACTCTTGTTTTGGTCGATAAAAATCATTGGAATAAGGTTAGTATAAAATTATATAAGAACATAATTTAGAATATTAAAACATTTGAAACAATCTCTACACACATAATTTGTATCATGGTAAAAAAAAAGTATTAATTTTTGCGGCAAAGCAACCAATGGTGTCATTCGCAAATGAATTGGGCTTAGCGTTTTAAAACAATAAGGCCTAGTTGTGCGTAGGCCGGTTTATCTTATTACTGGGCAGATTAGGCCCTTAATATATATAGTATTTGAGCCGGCCCAATTTAAGGAAGTTGTCGGCCCTTGGGCCCCGCCGGAAGCTCTAGCGATTGCGCGAAGGCGAGGTCTGGGATCCACCCAGTGTCATCGTCGCGTGTAGATTATGGCGTTTGCCAGTTTCTGGTGCGAAATAGCTTAACGGGGCTCACAACGACGGGAGAACTCGCCGGAGACTTCCTGGCCGTCCGATCTGACTCCGCCGGGATGCTGGGAGCCGTACATTTACTCTTTGCCTGTGCTCCTCTGTGGCTGTTACGTGGGCTCGCCGGCGGGGCCCGGGATATTGGGCCTGGGAAAGGCCCATATCTCTCTCCCTTCTCAGCGTTTACCTGTCGGAATCAAACGGCGTCGTCTCGACTTCCTCCGCCGAGGAAGCATTCGGTGCGGAGGTGTCTAGATCGCTCGTGTACACCCCTCTGTTCACCGACGCGAGTGGCAGTTACGTAATTAGCGTGAAATCCATCCGGTTCAACGGCGCGAAGCTCTCCATCGATGGTCCGTTATCGGCGGAGCTTAGCACGGTGGTTCCGTACACGGTGGTGGAGAATTCAATCTACAACAAGATCGTTGAATCTCTGACCAAGGCCGCGAGCGCGACGGCGACCGCAACCACGGTGGTGAGCGCGGTGGCGCCGTTCGGGCTCTGCTTGGCCGATACGACGCCGTTTGGGGAGGAGTTTCCGGCGGTGGAATTAGGGTTGCAGAGCGAGATGGTGAGGTGGAGGATCCATGGGAGGAATCTGATGGTGGATGTAGGAGGAGGGATACAGTGCATGGGAATCGTCGACGGTGGGTCGGGTCGGGTCAACCCGATTGTAATGGGTGGGCTTCAATTAGAAGGCTTTGTTTTGGATTTCGATTTGGGTAATTCTGTAATGGGCTTCGGACCGAGAAGAAATCTATCTGGTTCTGATTCTCTGCCACTTTGAAGCTTTCTGTTTTTGGCCCATTTGCTTACAAAATAAATTTTATTTAGAATTATTTAAAAATATATATATAAGGGGAATAACTTTTTTATTTTGAATTTTGATTTTGTTGATAAATAATATTCGGTCCCCACGCGTAAGACTTAAACGCTCCTTTTAATTTTGTTTGGTCGCTGAATGTCTATGTCCAATCGTTTTCATATTAGTGCCAAACCAAAACGAGTTTCTGTCCTACTATGATATATTTTTATTTCTGAGTTTCTCTTAATTTTTTTTTGTCTCCACACTTTTAATGGAAGGAAATTAATGAAAAATGTGGAGGAAAAAAATATAGCAATGGAATTTAAAAAACATACTACCGTTTGAAGTTTGAAAAGTATTATTATTATTATTACTATATATATAATGCAAATCCTAATTTTAGTTTGGTATGCTTTATTTAAAAAAAATCCATTTAAGGGTATATTTTAATTTTCTTTTCTGTTTGGTAAAAGTATTGGACCGTTGGTTGTCAAACGTCAAAGCAGCCCTACGTGGGGTAGTACGGCCTGACCCCTTAAACATTAAAAGAAAAATAGTCCAATTTAATACACTGCTAAATAAATTATTATTTCAATCCTATATCATTTCATAGTCTTCATAGAAAAATTTTATACATATCATATTTTGTTTAATATAATTTGTGATCACTAATTAAAAACACAGAAAGTGACAAATTTAAAATAGAAGAGACATGAAAATATTTTATTTATTGGGCAAACTTTCTATTGTAGAATTTTCTAAGTCAAAAGAATGGAATCAATAGACGCTTAAAGAGCTTTTATGGGCATATGATTTTTTTTTCCTCCCAAGAAAAGAATTATATCTCTAAACAATTACACAGTGCCCATTATTAATTAATTATCATTTTATGGAAGATTACATTTATTTATATACGTTTATATTTATTTTATTTTATTCCAAAGTGGGACCAAACCCCAATTATTGTTTTCTTGCAAAATAAATCTAGAGAGTTTAGTGCAGCCGGTGGCCCCACCAATTCTCATTCGCACTGTGGGAATTCGACCCACTCGCCCGTGACTCACGCGACTGTATATTTTTCCTGTCTTAAATATACATACCAAAATAACTGTAATGAAATAGAAAACGATAGAACCAAAATCTTAAATATTTTGTTTATTTTAGTCTACATTTAGCAGTAGCATATATATTTTATATAATGTTGATACATATCTCTTCTTGTTCGCACATATGCGTGTCGAATATATATAATGATACTCGCTATTTTTTGTTTTGTTACCAAACTTGTATATTCATTTTTTTTTTACTTTTGCTTAATCATGGACCGTCACCTTTAGGACTTAAAAAAAATAATAATATGTTGGTAACAAGAATATACATTTCTATAGAAATCCAGATTGTCATATAAATTTAGTAATTAAATATTTGTAAATATTATTTACACAAAAAATAAACCAGTTAAAAGAGACCCATGTTTTTAAAACCCCACGATCTCCACAAGAAACATTCATGCGCCTCTCTCTCCCCCTTCCTCCCTCCCTCTCTCCCTTCCTCCCTTCCTCTTTCTCTCTACAAACCCTCCCCCCCTCTCTCTCTCTCTCTCTCTCTCTCTCTCTCTCTCTCTCTCTCTCTCTCTCCAGTAAACTGTAAACACAAGAACACAGCAGACTGCATGAAAAAGTCGAGAGTTTTCTTCTTTCCCTTTGTTTGTATTCGAACCTAATCGTCATTGTAAGTGTGGCCGCTTCACAAACGGTCTCTCTCTCTCTCTCTCTCCGAAAAGCAAACTGTTTCAAGAAAAGGGAAAAGGTAGAAAAAGCGCACAAGAAATGCCTCCATGAGTGCCTCCTCGCTTCCTCCACACATGTTTTTCGCGTCATTATTCATATTCTAACGAAAACTGACCTACCAAGCAAAGCAGCCCCTTCCCCCATTAACGATCCTCGTCATGCTTCAGCTCCATTGGCCATGACCCTTTTTGTCCTTTCTTTTCCATTTTACTTGCCCGTCTAAACTTCTTTCAAGCCTGTTGATTGATGAAATAGAATATCCATCCAGACGAGAGTAAAGTTTTGAAATTTGCTTTCCCTCTGACCCCTCAGATGTCCAAGAACCCATCTCTTGGAAGACGAGCCTTTTGATTTCTGCCAGAGGTTATAAGAATACCCAGAAGATCAAGGTTTGAACTTGGCCTCTTCTTTTCTCCTCCCTCTGAGCCTCAGATGTCGAAGAGCACATCTGTGGAAGACGATGGAGCCATGCCAATCTGCGAAGTGTTGAAGAGATTCAAGCGGTTGAGGCTCGTGTTCGAGCCGTCTCTCGGAGTCTTGGGGTTCTTCTTGGTCGGGCTGTGTCTGGTATGTGCCTTCTTCTATTTCGATTGCAGAGCCGTGGCCAAAAGGTACGGCCTTTCGGATCAATCGGAGAGATTTATGTGGCTAAAACTTGATGGGTCCGGTGATAATCCCAAGAGAGTGGGGTTTCTGGAAGAAGATGGAGATGGGTGTGATGTGTTTGATGGGGAATGGGTTTGGGACGAATCGTATCCCTTGTATCAATCCAAAGATTGCAGCTTTTTGGATGAAGGGTTTAGGTGTACTGAGAACGGAAGGCCTGATTTGTTCCACACTAAGTGGAGATGGCAACCCAGACGTTGCAATTTGCCCAGGTAAAATTTTGCTTTCTCAGGATTTTCTCAATCATGTTTGGTTCCCTGGAAAATGTGGGAAAGTGAAACTGGTACTTTCTGATCTGCGCTTGCCGCATGAGATTTGCAATTTTCTCACCTGTTGTTTTCCTGCATTTTCTCGGTAAGCAAACTGTTCAACTAGCGAGGGAAAATGATGCTTTCATGTCCTGGGCGTAGTTGTTGTTGACTTCCACACAAATTTTTAATACTGTTAACTGTTTTGTTCATGTTTGGTGCTCGAGAAACCAAGGGAAAACGAGAGAAAACCAGTGTTCTCCCGATCTAGCATTGTTTCATCCGTGTTCTTTACCAGATAATCTTTGGTTGAATATGAGCACCAACGGTTTGTTTATCCAATCTTCTCTTCTGCTGGAAAATCATAGCCTTTTAAGTTGCTTTCATTTCTGCAAATTTTGGCAAGTTAGTGAAATTTCCCGTCGTTTTCTCTGGTCACTTTCCAACTTGTCTGCATATAATCACCATCTCGTGATTCACAAATCCGGTTGAGATGGTCCTGCTCTTTCATTTCCCAATTATCCTAAACACCAATCATGCACTTGTTCTGTGAATGTGTGTTCTTGGTTATATGTGTATATATATGTATATGTATATGTGTCATAAAGTTTTGTATTTTATGAACCCGTGAGTTCCATGACATGGCCTGTGTTTAGTGTTACCAATAACTGGCAGGTTTGTTGAGATGAGTATTTACTGTCACAACCCACCAAAGATCATGTGTAGACTGCAGCTTTAGTTTGTAACTTCATCATGCTTGTGTGAATTACAGGTTATTGTTTGTAATTCGAACTCAAGTATTAGCTATTGATGTTCTTGGCTGACTCCCTTGATGAAATGGATCCAGATTTGACGCAAGACTGATGCTGGAGAAACTCCGGGACAAGAGGCTAGTGTTTGTCGGGGACTCGATAGGACGAAACCAATGGGAGTCTCTTCTGTGTATGCTGTCTTCTGCAGTCCGGAACAGGAGTTCGGTCTATGAGGTGAACGGGAGTCCGATTACAAAGCACAGGGGATTCTTGGTATTCAAGTTTGAGGACTATAATTGCACGGTCGAATACTACAGAGCGCCCTTTCTCGTTGTCCAGGGCAGGCCGCCGGCTGGATCACCAGATCTGATCAAAACGACCCTGAAACTGGACACGATGGATTGGACTGCAGGAAAGTGGAAAGATGCCGACGTGCTTGTCTTCAACACGGGCCATTGGTGGAACAACGAGAAAACTATAAGACAGTAAGTTCATCTCATTAAACCGGATAATCTCTGCCACTAAGATCGGATTAGAATACCGAATTGTCCCCGAGTCATTCATTTGTCTGGTTTTGTTCCATCAACCAACAATAACAACTCTCATGTTACTGCAGGGGATGTTACTTCCAAGAAGGTGAGCAAGTGAAAACAGAGATGAGCCCAGATGATGCATTCAGGAAAGCTATCAAGACAGTGGTGAGGTGGATACAAGACGAGGTTGATTCGGACAAAACCCAGGTCTTTTTCCGTACGTTTTCCCCCGTCCATTTCAGGGGAGGAGACTGGAGAACTGGAGGAACTTGTCACATGGAGACTTTGCCCGAAATCTCCCTGTCCCTGGTCCCTTCAGAGACATGGGCACAGATAAAAATCTTGGCCGATGTCTTGTCCAGCAGATCGGAGACAGAGACGGTTAAACTGAAACTGTTGAACATCACTTCCATGACGGCTCAAAGGAAAGACGGCCACTCGTCCCTGTACTATCTCGGCCCTGCCGGTCCTGCGCCTTTGCACAGGCAGGGCTGCAGCCACTGGTGCCTCCCTGGCGTACCCGACTCATGGAATGAGCTCCTCTACGCCCTTTATCTTAAGCACGTGGCTGTGGCTTCTTCTCGGACATTCGAGTCGACTCGGGCCTCCAGCCACTGGTGCCTCCCTGGCGTACCCGACTCATGGAATGAGCTCCTCTACGCCCTTTATCTTAAGCACGTGGCTGTGGCTTCTTCTCGGACATTCGAGTCGACTACAGTCAACGCGACAGGGTCGTAGACGTGGACAAGAACAGTAGGAAAAAGGCCGTCTGTTTCTTACAGGAAGCCACTGGAATGGCGGCTCTGTTTGAGGGGAGACAGTAGGGGATTAGTTGGGGTGATTAGATTTAATTGGAATGATTAATTGGGTGGGGGAATATAATGTAATTATTGTTTGTTTGATGGTTGCCATAGATGTTCTAACGGAAACCAAACTGGATTTTGGTCTGTGAAGTTATTATAGTATTCAAAACCTTGTGATCCACCAATTGTGAAAATGAAGCTTCATAAACTGGTTTTGTTCTTTCTCATAGATTTGAATATATCCTCTCTCTCTCTCTATATATATATGTATATATATACATATATATACTATCTATAAAACACCAACTGGATAACATCATTGCACAGCTTCACGATCCAGTTTGGTGGGACTTGGACAGATTAGATTACACTGTCCATTTTGCCTTTTGTCTGGACCCACGTTCACCTCTCTCTCTCTCTCTCTCTCTCCCGCCTATTTATGTGACCCTTTGCGCATTCTCTAAACTCCACTCGAGCTGGGGTCTGTGAGCTTAAGACGAATACAGGGGACATGGAATTGGCAATGGAGGTAGAGGTTGAAGATGACGTCTTCTTTGCTGATATAAGCAGGCAGATCTCTCTTCTCATCATGGATGAAGAAGATGAACATGTTTCCTCTTCTCTCTCTCCTCTCCAGGTTTTTCTCCCTTCGTCTGTTTTACAAAACCCATCTCACAAAACACCAGCTCGGTCTGATCATCATCCGCTACGTACGGTTTCTTGGACCACACGCATTTGCGTTCTTGATCTTTTGAAACAGGGTTTGCTGGGAGGAAGTGCGGTGTCTCCATCTGCGCATGAGCAGAGTTGCAGGAGAAGAGAGAGCAAAGGGACAGGAGTGTTCATCCCAAGATCTTCTCAACCAAGAAGGAAACATCATCATCATCAGAATCAAGGAAGGTTCAGTTCCTTCAGCTCAAATCCACAATCCCACCCACAAAGGCAGCGTCAGCAGCAACATGATAACAGCAGCACTGTTCATGCTTCTAACCCAAGAAGAACCTACAGAGATGCAGCATCTGTCTCTACTTAACCAGTTCATCACAAGATTCATACAGAAAGATTATGTGATTTATACATATATATAGATTATATCAAGATTTAATTCGTTTGTGAATCAGCAATGAATAAGAATCATTATGGAGGAAGCAAAGGGGTTGGTGAAAAGATAGATCCCAAGATTTACTGTCTTCTTAGTGTTTTGACTGACTGTTCCTCTGTAATATTCTCCACCACCCCATGTAGCGGTTATTACTCTTTTGGCAATGAAGACTCCGCCATTTCATTCAGGAGATTGTATTGAACAAGCTACAGAGCAAGAAACAGAGATTTGATTTGGGGAAAGAGAAATGAAAGAATCTTCGGGCAAGTCCCATGTGGAGAATTGGCGAATGTCGAATCTCTCTCCCCCCCCCCCTCCAATCAAATCTTTTGTTAGTATGCAACAGTTGCCTGAACGTTAAAAGTCAGATCTAAAAGGAAAGGGACTGACTGACACATGATTCTGTCGTGCCAATCACATGGACGTCCATATATACGCACACATATATATGCTTGCCCATCTCCCTCGAGATCTTGTGTTCTTCGGTGACAATTTAGGAATATAACTCAGATTTTTTTTACCTTCTTGTGACAATTTAAACATATAATCAGATGACTTTTTAGATGAAAAACATGTGGGAAGTATAAAAATCGAACCTTTTTTCTTTCTTTCTAAAAATAACAAATAAAAACTCGAACTTTATGGAGGATGAAACATTTTTTTTTTCTTTTGGTTGGAAAAGAAACGATTTTTGTGGAAATGGAGTAAGCACAGATTAAATCCCCGTCTGAAAAAGAAGAGCTTTCTCGATAACTATGGAGGGACCGGAGCCACTGGTAAACTTTCTTCGAACCATGACGGAGTTCCCTATATCCGAGCTCGTTTGAGTTCACAGACTCAATTTCCATGGCTGTCGTCTACCTTCTCTCCATCCTCCTCCTCCTCGTCACCCTCTCTCTCCTCCTCCTCTTAGCCCTTATCGTACGGCCTCGTCCCGTCAGAATCCCGATCAAGTCCCGCCACGTCTTCATCACCGGTGGCTCCAGCGGCATTGGTCGCGCCCTCGCCGGTCGCGCTGCCGCCGAGGGAGCTCGCGTCTCCATCCTAGCTCGCTCCCCCGACAAGCTCGAAGAGGCCAAGCGATCGATCCAGCTCGCTACCGGCGTCGAGGCCGCTACGTTCGCCGCCGATGTGCGCGATTACGACGCCGTCTCGAAGGCGGTGAGGGAATCAGGGCCGATCGATGTGTTGGTGGTCAATCAGGGCGTGTTCGTGGCGGAGGAGCTGGAGAAGCAGAGCCTGGACGAGGTCAAGTTCATGATTGACGTGAACCTGTTGGGGAGCTTCAACGTGATTAAGGCCGCTTTGCCATCCATGAAAGCCAGGGAAGGTCGTGGCCCTGCCTCCATCGCTCTCATGTCTTCTCAAGCCGGCCAGGTCTGTTTCTCGAAATTCAACCTATGGCCTCCGTGCATATTTCAGAATCATGGTCTTGTCCTGTCTTGTTCGTCGTCTCTGATCACTCCATAGGTTAAAGACAACAGTGAATATGACTCTGTAGTTATGTTTCAAGCTGAGAACAATGGTAGGCATCATTATATTCACTATCTCACTTGCAGTGGCTTTGTTGTCTCATGCCAAACTCTTGATTTCACATTTGTACCAATGTGATCCGTTCTGAAAACCGATAATCTGCTGCTTAATATAATGGCATTACGCCACCAAGAACGTGTATAAGCATCAAGATGAGAACATGTTTTTAGCAAAATAAGCCACTCTACTCTAGTAGTGTGCCCTTATGCGCTTCTGTTCGAAAAGGTTGCAAATTTTTTCTCTTTTCGAGGCTGAGTTGAGAGAGCGTATAGGAAAACATGGGGTTTTAACTAGATGTCATCCATGGTTTCTAGTAAGGATTTTTCCAGCTTGTGCAGTCAATCTGTCTTTGGGTAACGTGTTGTTGTTGATTCTCTTTCAGGTGGGTATCTATGGTTACACTGCGTATTCAGCGAGCAAGTTTGGGCTTCAGGGTTTAGCTCAAGCGCTGCAGCAAGAGGTTATTGCTGACAATATTCACGTCTCTCTTGTTTTTCCTCCTGACACAGAAACTCCTGGGTTTGAGGAAGGTAATGCCATCCTCATACTCTTATCTCGTTTTCAAAACTGTAAATGAGTGCAGCGAATGTAACAAAGAAGTATACCGTATAGTAGTTTTCGAGAGTGAAGAAGTTGTATTGCTGATTGTCTTCTTATGAGTATCCTTGTCCTGAAGCTTAGCCTGGTTGATGTTGTCCAAAATTGGAAAAACAAAAGAACTATAGAATCCAGTCTCCAGAAAGATTTGGATACAAATTACATAAAGCTGAATGTGGGTTTGAGAAACTTTCGATAAGCAATAGTGAAACTGTGATGACCTTAATGCCATCTGCAGCATAGATTATTTCATCAAAGCTGTATTGTATTCATTCATTCAGATTCTTGATAACTCTATATCGTTATCTAACTCTCACAATTTTAAATCAGATCACTGAGATTCCAAATTCCTTGTTTGTTCTTACAGTTCCAAATCATGTCGAGAGATGATTTGATCTTTTCTTGTTTGTTTTCAGAGCAGAAGACCAGGCCGCAACTCACTAACATAATAGCTGCATCCTCTGGTGCAATGCGACCCGAAGAAGTTGCCAAGATAACTCTGGAAGGCATCAAAGCGGGAAAATTTTCGGTCTCGTGCAATTTTGAGGGTTTCTTACTATCAACTGCGACTGCAGGCTTGTCCCCTCAGAGGTCGTTTTTTACCGCCTTCTTTGAAGTGATGACTGCGGGATTGATCAGACTCGCCGCTCTGTTTTTCCAGTGGGATTGGTACAGAGCCATAGAAAAGTGGAACAGAACCAGAACCAAGTAGCAAGTACCTCTCTACCCCCCCCCCTCTTTCTCTCTGGCATATATGTGCAGAGATCTTTTATACTGGTTACCACTTACCGATGGTATTTTCTTCTGACTGTCGTGACCCGACAGAGTTTCGTAGATGAAACTGAAGAGACTCTGATCGGTAAGGAACCCTTCTTGAAAAAGATAGAAGCTTCCGTAGATTCTGCCCCGTTGTCTGCGATGATGATGATGATTGTCTCTTTCTTTAGTTCTATACGAGATTCCGGATTCTATGGAGGAATCAAAGATGATGAATCATATGTGTGGGACATTCTTGTGATTAGGACAAGTGGTGGATCATTTGGAGATTTATAGACTTAGAAGTTCCTCTGTTTATCCTTAAAAGTTAAAACATGAGAACACGATAACGACCTTGTCGGATATGTTCAAGTTTCATCCTTTTTTCTGGATTCGAATCGAACAGCTTTTGAGGATTTTAGTTTCTGGGTGTTGGAGAAAATGGATTTCGTCTTTCGATGGTTTCGTCTCTGGATGATGATCACTTGGTTGATTTGTTGTTTTTCTGAGCCTGAGCCTCTTCAAATTGGTTTTCTTCTGTGTCGGGAGCTCAGCTATATACGTATTTGAATTTTGCAATTGGCCAAAACTCGAGAGAAAAAAAAAATTACAAACACACGTGACACGCACGTGCACATTGTACACGAAATTGGAATTGGGCTTTGTTGGGCTTTAGCCCATATGAATGATAGAAGTTCACCCTAGTGCTTCCTCGTGCACTCTCTCTCTCTGTCTCCCTCCCCCTTACCAGTGTTACCGTTTGGAGACGAACTCTTCGCCGCCGGCAAGACCTGCCGCTTGTACCGCTGTCACGCCGGAGGTAGGTCGCATCCGCTCTCTCTCGTTTCACATCATGTGTTGAGCCGTGATCTTGTCGTTTGATCTTTCATCTCTCTCGGTTTCTTCTTCGAGTACTTTGAATTTTAACATAATTTGCATGAGACTAGCTGGTGTGTAAGCATTTGTACATATGTCGAGCGAATCTAATACCATTTCAGCTCGTCGATTATGTTGGGATTTGTATTGCGTTGGAGGACAAATAGAGCTGAAATGGTTTTAGGGTTTATCATGGTTGTTGAACAATCCTAACTCCTGCTTCCTGATTATCCTTCCCCGTGTCAAGTCCAGTGATCTGTGGAGTTAAAATATGCGTCTGAAGTACTAAGAAATCTCTGCTTGAATCGAGACAAATCTATGTGTTTCTGAAATTTGTCACTCTCATTCTGGAATCTCAATGTTTACTCCGTTTTTTCTTTCTGGAACAGGGAGTTGTGGTGTTGTCCGATCAATAACGCCTTGCAATCATATGAAATGATTGTTCATTGAGTTAGTAATTGTTGCGAGAGAAGTAGGCATGAAGCTGATTTCACTTGTCAGAAATGTTCATTCTCGCCATTGCCGGCCGGAGGTAACTCGGTGTCTGCAACTGCGTTTCTTCCAGCATGACTTTGTTCCCAGAGACCCAAAATCCAAACCGAAGAAATACAAGTACCCGCCAGTATACGACCCGTATGGCCCGAGACCTCCACCTGCCGACAAAATCATAGAGCTAGCAGAGAGTATAGCCACCCTACCTCCAGAAGAACGCAGACTAATCGGCCCTATGCTTCATGAACGGCTAAAACACCCGAAACTCCAAGCTGTATCGACAGAAGGCATGGATGTCGGTGGAAAAACAGATTCTGGACCCGGAAAAGTCGAGGAGAAGAAGGAGAAGACCGCGTTTGACGTGAAGCTAGAGAAGTTTGATGCGTCGGCAAAGATAAAGGTGATAAAAGAAGTGAGGGCATTCACGAACTTGGGGCTGAAGGAGGCGAAGGAGCTCGTGGAGAAGGTCCCGTCCGTGCTTAAACAAGGGGTGACAAAGGACGAAGCTAATCAGATCATAGAGAAGATCAAAGCTGCTGGTGGAGTTGCAGTCATGGAATGATAGATTCTTTTCTTTGCTCCCTTTGTTTCTGGGTTCCTTTCCTTTTTATTTGCCTATCATCTTGTGCTGTTATTGGACACATGAGAAGTAAAGTATCTCCAAATCTAGGTGGGGAATGTTTTGTACGAATAATTAAGTGTTTTTTTGAGGATTTTTTTACCTTAAACTTCATTTCCCAGTTCTTTGTCAATGTCTAACTGTGTTTGCAAGTGATTATTAGAACACTGGTTACAGATCTGTCTGATTTGAGTACAAAGATTTGCCATTTCTATCAATCTGGTAAATTCCCATATGATTGTTTGGAAAACAAATGTCTTCATGATTCTCTCTTATTCAAGAAAAAAAACAAATTTTTATGCTAAAATAAAATCAGGAAATTTAGAGGAAAATAGTTGATGAGAAAAAAGATAATTGACCAAAACCTCATATTGGAGAAGTCATTAGGTGGTGTAAGCAGAGAAGATTAAGCGCCCAAACTAGTAATTTCCAAAGCCGATTTCGTTATCTTCTTCTCGGAGCAACACCCTGAACCAGAAACAAGCCGAACTTGAGTTCTCCTTCTCGACGGTGCTCTTTGTTTCCTCATCAATGGCGTTTCAACTTTTCTCCTTTACCCATCTCGCGCTCTTCCCTAAAGGCGAGTCCTTTCGTCGTTTGCTCTTGCCAACGCAAAAACCCAGTTCCTTTCACTCTACTTCTTTACCCACCACGAGCAAGGCTCTCCACTTCTCGCCCAATTCTCGAATCCTCCAAGCAGTTGCCGGTGATTGTTCGGGAACCAAAGAGAACGAAACCGATCAAGAGATTGCTTTGACTCTTCGAGAAATCTGCCAAGATTACGTGCCTGAGCACATTTTGCGCAGGCAAGTTTTTTTGTTGGGGTTTTTAAATTCTTATTGGGTTTTTGAATTGGAGAGTATTCCCCTTCACATTTGACTGAGCTTTTGGAAATGCTGCAGAATGGAAGAAATTGGGTATGTCGTTCCGACAGATGTGCAGCGAGAAGCTCTGCCTACTTTGTTTTCAGGGCGTGACTGTATTCTCCATGCCCAGGTCCCTTTCTTGCTCTGTTCATCTCTCTCGATGCTTATTTCTCATGTATTCTTTTGTGTTATCTTCATTGATTTTCTGTTAGTTTTGTTGGAGTGGCTAATTTAGACATGTTAGGTAATCTAGACAGGTTCAGGCAAGACATTGACTTACCTGTTGCTGATATTCTCTCTTTTAAACCCTCAAAGAGCTGCTGTGCAAGCTGTGATTGTTGTCCCCACGAGGGAGCTTGGTATGCAAGTAAGACTGGATATACATATACCCAAATCTTTCCTTTGATTCTGTTTCATATGCTATTTGGAAACAGGTGGCGGAATGTATGGTTTACAAGGGCAATTGAAGATGTTTCTGATTTTGAACTTAGGTTACAAAAGTTGCTCGGATGTTGGCTGCAAAATCATTGGATATGGAGGAAAAGGCATTTACAGTCATGGCTCTTTTAGATGGAGGAATGCTAAGAAGGCATAAAAGCTGGTTAAAGGTGTGACATCATTGTTTTGTCCTCGAGTCAGAGAGATTAATTGCCGAAAAGCTTACAGGTGTTCTATTAATTCAGTCACATGATTCACATTACAACATGATTTAATTCAGGGCTTTGTTCTTTCAGGCGGAGCCACCAGCTATAGTAGTTGCAACGATATCAAGTTTGTGCCACATGCTAGAAAAACACGTAATTAAGCTTGATTCCATGAGAGTACTTGTTGTAGATGAGGTAAATGCCCATGCATCGCTCTGTTCTTTTCTGCTCATAGACGTTGATTCGCTTTTGGTTTATTGCTCTTCAAGAGCATATGAAGAGGCTATATTCTGCATGATGTGCTTGTTTATGTTGGTCGATAGATGCTCTCTCACCTCAAGCTATCTTTTTTATTCTTCACTTTTTCTAGGTTGATTTCTTGTTCTACTCTTCGAAACAAGTCAGTTCTGTGAGGAGGCTTTTGACATCTTTTTCGTCATGTGATAAACGTCAGACGGTTTTCGCCAGTGCTTCCATTCCCCAACATAACCGTTTTGTACATGACTGTGTACAGCAAAAGTGGACAAAGGTTAGCTTATGGGTGAATGAATGATGGTTTTTTAATGTTGTAAGTACAATCCTGAAGTTGGGGGTTTTACACTGTTTTTTGGTTTTATGTTTCACCCAGGGCAACCTGGTGCATGTCCATGTCAGCGCAATTATGCCCATGCCGGGATGCCTTCTTCATAAATTTGTCGTAAGACTTATCTTGTTAGGCTTCTCCATCAGTATGTGCAGCCATGCACATCCTTTAGCAACTCTAATCTGTATTTTGGCAGATTTGTGGAAAGAATGATAGGCTTCAAGTGCTGCTTACCTTGTTAGAGTCTCATGCCCCTGAGTCAGCCATTGTTTTTGTTGGGGAGCAGGTTTGAAAACTTCGACCGCTCTCTGAACAGGGTTTCACCCATTACAAACATTTAACAAATGTTTTCTTACACTTATTTTCAGTCCGAGAAGTCGAAGAAGGCTGGAAATGCTCCTTCTACAACTATGTTAATTGAATTCCTCAAAACTTCGTACAAGGGCTTGCTGGATGTCCTCCTATTGGAGGAGGACATGAATTTCAATTCACGAACAGCTTCACTTACAGTAAGTGGTTCTATTGCCTTATCGCTGCTGGATTAATGCTTGTATTGTTACTAACCTTCATGGGCAACTCAGGAGATCCGCCAAGGAGGGGGTTTTCTTCTTGTTTCTACTGATATCGCAGCCAGAGGCATTGATCTACCAGAAACAACTCATATCTATAACTTTGATCTCCCAAAAACGGCTGCAGATTATCTGCACCGAGCTGGAAGAACAGGTAGAAAACCATTTTCTGATAGGAAATGCATTGTTACCAATCTGATCATGCTGGAGGAACGGTTTGCCTTGCAAAGATTTGAAAATGAACTGATGTTTAGCTGTGAAGAACTGATGCTGTAGGTATGGTCTTCATCATCCAATTCTTTTAATTTGCTCCTTTGTTTTTGTTTCCTCTTTTCCCAAGTTTATTTAATCGCCCATACAGATGAGTCGAAGCACCTTCAACTTAATGCGATTAGTTGACAGAACTTGGAAATATCCGTGGGAAGGTTTACATCATTATCTAACAAAATGGCAGTATGGCACTGAAAGCAGGATCATTTGCTTATAGAATCATGGGCTTTTCTTTATTCAGTAACCATACTTGTCCATCTTTTCGTTTTCTGTATTCTCATGGTAGGAAAACAACCTAGAATTCAATATATCATATCACCACCCCATCTCCAATTACTGAATTCTTGAAGATAACTGTAATACCAGATCTGATGTAGAATCCTTCAGATGTTCTATCTGCTTCCTGTATTCCCTGCAAAACAGATAGTATTTGTAGAAATTAAAAAAAGGGAAAGCCATGCAAGAGTTGCATATGTGCTAGCCCTTATAAGAGATTTGAGCATTGCTTCCATTTATAACCAAAAGAAAAGTTACCTCTGAGTTTGCAATGATTACATTCTTCCCTATTCTAGCATTCTTGTCTATTATGCAGTCTCTGTTGGGACAAAAGAAGGAAAAATAAAAAACAAAACAAAAGGAGGCATGAGATAGAGTAACTTAAAGAACTTCTTGAAGCAACCGAAAAGTTGATAGTTGTTCTTACTTTATCTTTGTGTTTTCTCCAATTCCGACGGGAACCCTTCCTTCAGCAAGCAATGATGCAACTTCTGCATCTGTTTCGTAGAAGTCTGCTCCAAGCATAACCGTGTCCTACAGTTTCCACTACATATAGATTACCTGAATCTGGAGTTCACTTCATTATGATTTAGAGAGAAGTTTCTTTTGCTTACCTTCAAATGAACATTATTGCTTATTCTAGATCTGATTCCAACAATGCTGTGCTCGATGATGCAGTTGGTTAAGAAACTTCCATGGGAAATGATTGAATCAATGATCTGCACTTGTGATTAATATATAATTAATCATGGAGAAGGTCCTAAATCACCGGACACCATAGAAATCAAAGAATTATATCTTGGCTTCTTTTACTTGCCTTACTGTTGTCTATTTTTGAAGGTGGCAGATTTCTCCTGGACGTGTAAATTGGCTTGGCTGCGTCGTAGAAGCTAAATCTCGGTGGCTGAAAGGTACAGATTTCTGACATATTAATGATATTGAATATGCCTATCTATGAATATCAAGTGATAGTTTTCAGCATTTCGGAGACTGAAAAAAATGGAAAGTTCATATAGTTGCACTTGCACAGGGGAAGATTTGTTTCTCTTACATGCTCAGTAAGGGCAAGGTTTGCTTCAAAAAATGATCTTATTGTCCCTATGTCTTCCCAGTAATCATTGAAGAGATAAGCCTGCTCAAATGCTCAAAATGTTTCGTACATTTTATCATATGATAGGGGATGTTAATCATAATAGATGTATGGTTATTTATGCTGAGTGGGGTGCTGACCTTGACATAGAATTCTTTAGCTGAGAAGGGTATGATCTCTGACCCAAAGTCATTAGCAGTTGGGAATCTCCATCTGTTTCCAAACAGCTTCAAGATTACATTTTGTATCGGTTTATTGGAATGAAAAAGATAGAATATGAAACCAGAGTCAATACCTCAAGAGGTTTAACAGTATTTCCTTCTTAAAGACATAGACCCCCATTGATGCGATGTATGGTTTCTTTTCAGCTTCATCCTTAGAAAGTCCTAGTACAGTTGTATCTACTGCCTAAAGCATGCCCAAGGTTAAGAACAATCTCCAAGAGATGTTTTCTAGAGATGCGTTACAGATTAGTAATCTTTTTTATGTGAACCAGAATTTCCAACATACCATTGCTTTCAGGTCATCTCCTTTAGGTTTCTCGCTGAAAGAGATGACTCTCCCCTTGCTGTCTATCTTCATAAGACCGAAATCTGATGCACGTCTACCATGTGACAGAGAATATATAGAGTGTATAAGAAATCATGACTTTGATGCTGCTAGTTGAAGGTGGTGAACAAAAAAATGAATCCAAGTGATGTTACCACTGGTGCTTTTTTCTGATTCACCTGTCATCTATTGGTATGCAGGAAATGCTTATATCTGCTCCGCTCTGCCGATGATTCTGCAAATGGGATGTTAAAGTTCAAGATCTGGGTCTCGGGTCAGTAATTATTCAGACAATCTGTTCAGAGAGTAGAGTTCTTGTCTGAACCTGTATAAAGTCCAAATAGTCCATTCTGTAGAGGTGATCTCCAGAGAGGATCAACACATCCTCTATCTCCTTGCTTCTTGGATCCTGTTGAGGAAAAAAAAGTGTTCAATCACAGTTCTCAGACATAGAGGGTTTTCCTGCAAAGACAGTACCTCGAAGAGCCAATGGAATTGCCGAACTGCATCTGCTGTTCCCTGAAACCACTTGTTACCAGCTTCTCCTGGAGTTTGAGTTGCTGCAAGAACCTGACATTTGAGAAAACCCTAAGCCATCCGGGCTGAATAAAGAACCAACCGAACAGCTGGTGCATCAACTTGATGAGATGTAAGAATAAGAACCTCGACATAGCCATCTCCAAAACCGACACCATTGGAGTTGTAGGCACGGGCAAGGTGCCTGTTCAGTGATGCTGAGTTGAACTGCGTGAGAATGTAGACTTTGTTGATGCCACTATTGATGCAGTTGCTCATTGGAACATCGATCAGTCTATAGGCTCCCCCTATAGGGACCTGCATTACGTGTTATGCTTTCCATTATAACGCAGAAAAAATCAGCACTACTGGTTTTTATTGCAGATTGAGCTGTAATAACGCGGAGATGTTGTGTCCCTTTTGGAAACTCACGGCGGGTTTGGCACGGCGTTTAGTGAGAGGGAAGAGACGGGTTCCGGCTCCGCCTCCAAGAATGACAGCGACGACAGTTCTTGAATCCCGTTTCTCGTCGAGATTCCGTAGCTGCAGATAGATACGATGTTCAGGCATAGTTGTTACGAGAACTTGATCCAAGACAGAACAGAAGCAGAATAAGCAAAAGGGGGTTTGAACTTGATAAAACCTTCGATTCGAGTGCTACATCAGCTAAGGACATTAAAACTCTCTTCCGAGCGACGTTCTTAGGAGGTAAAAGACGAAAACTTTGCGACTGGGTCATCGTGTTGAGCTTCTTCCCCATGAGTTCGCCATTGCTGAAGCTTCCGAGCTTGATGCTGTTCTTGCGCGTGTTGAACCCAGTGGTGACGCGTGGATGGCTCTGGGCAGAGAAGGAGACTCTGCACTCAGCAGAGAACACCATGTTTTAGCGGGAGGTGGTGCCAGTGAAGAATCAAGATCTGAGTTTATGTGAAGTTGGGGATGGAAGGGAAGGGTTGCATGGACATGGAGTGCATGCATGTGAGTGTTTTCGGAAGGTTGGGGCCCACCCTATCTTGATGAAATTACAGCCACCACCTGTTCTCTTCTTGCTGATTTTGCTCGATTATATATATATATATTTTGTATGTATTTGCCCTTTGGTTTTGGAATATTCTACTGAAAAATATGCGAGAGAACAACTTATGGAAAGGACTTGGTAAAATATCTCTGACGCTGGATCTCGTTTGGATTCATATTTACCCAAACTGAAATTTCAACGAGAACTTGGTTAAACAAAAGCCCTAAGAGACCATTTTGTCTTCTTTCTGTACTTCTCGAAGTGCTATTGTTTCCGGTTTTTCTCCATCAATGGCGTCATCACCATCACCATCATCATCATCATCAGTACTGATCTGTATTTCCAGATGAGGAAGACAGTCTTCTCACAGGCATCAACATCATCAGTACCGAACATCTCAGAAGTCAGAACTCGACAACGCTAACGCCGAACAAGAGCGCGGAATGTCTTGCCGAGGAAATAGCACACGACAGGCTCCGACACTGTTCCAGGAACCGAGCTTCAGTTCCCCAACTGCCCATCCCTTCCGTCGAAGTGCCACTTGAACGTCTCCGACACAAGAGACGGCTCCATATAATGCCCGCCTGCCTGCGTTCCTCGCCTCGACCCGACCCTCTCCAACTTCACGAGATCTCAGTACTCGTCCAGTCTGAACGATTCCAAGTTCGTGGGAATCAGCATCAGTTCTGAAGGTGACTGGACCGTGGTCGTGCTCGCTAGCTTCTCACCTTCTTCAACTGATACTTCGCTTGTTGAAATAGAAACAAAATATGGAGATTTGATATGATTGATAATAATTAAACGCATTATATCAATTAAGAATAAAATATATATCGTGTCAATTATATTTTGCCTTATTTGTTTCTTTCGTATCTTTATTTCCTTGTATCTATGATCACCCGATTCACGAACAGTACTAGTGTTTGTTTCGTCACTCATTGTTGTACCTTGCAAAACAATCAAACGTTAGATAAAACAGAAAGAGACAAGGAAAAGGATGATGAGAGAACCTCACAACCACTAGAATAGTGTTTCGCTCAATTTTGTGTCACTCAAGCTCTCATGTTTCTTCTGTATGTCTGGTTTGCACTAACAACAAACTCAATAGATCAAGGAAAAGTATTCAGTTGACAAATCGCACACTATTTCCACGACCCAACACCCTTAGATAAACCGTCCAAGTGTATACGAAGACAAAATATTCAATGTAAGAAAACACGATTTTTTGTTTCTCTTCTTTTTGTGCAAGACGAAATCAACTTCTTTTTCTTCTCTCTTTTTTTTAACTCTTTTTTTTTCTTTTTTTCTTCGATTCTTTTTTTTCTTTTTTTTTTCACTTGTATATCTCTTCTGTTGAAATAGAAACAAAATATGAAGATTTGATATGATTGATAATAATTAAAGGCATTATATCAATTAAGAATAAAATATATATCGTGTCAATTATATTTTGCTTTATTTGTTTTTTTCGTATCTTTATTTCCTTGTTTCTTTCAATAACTTTTTCTATAAATGTATGGATTATTTTCATTGTAATGTAATAAGAAGAAGAGATGTAGCAATAAAAGTGTTTCCGTTCTTTTATATTTTGTTCTTTCTTTCTAATTTAATTTCCGCACTTTATTTTTCAATATCGCTTTCAGAGCGCTTCCATGGCTACTCCTTCTCTGCCTCTTCTTGTTCTCCTGCGTTACTTCTTCTTCTTGTTTTAAGTCTGAGCTTAGAAGACAGCTGAAAAGTGGTTTTGTGTTCTCCACAAAGGTTGTAATGTCCTGTGGTTCTGAGCTCAGTGTGTTCTCCACAAAGGTTGTAATGTCCTGTGGTTCTGAGCTCAGCAGTGTCTCTTCTTCTCAACTCTTGTCTTTTTGTCGTGGTTGAAGAAGAAAACCATTTGATTCCCTTGCTGTTTTCATTTCGATTTGGTAATTTCAGTTCTGAACCGGTTCGATTCTTAATCGATGGACCGAACCGAATATTTATGAGGCTCGATTCAAAACTGACTTATTCGGTTCTATAAAAATTGTACTAAATTAGGACCGATTTTATCCTAACGAATTATTCTACGGAATATAAAATTTTGATTCTTGTTTGATATTCATATAACAAAATCGTTTTGAAACGAATTGACTAGTTTGGAACGATTTTCGGTTTTAGTTTGATACAATTTTATAGAACTAAATAAACCATTTTGGTTTTCGGTTTGATATTCAAATGATTCGGTTCAAGAAAGATTTTTTGATTTTATAAAAATTATATCAAATTAGAATCGAATGTGAAATGGTTGACTTCAGTTTTTGATTTGGAACGGTTATGTTTAGGGCTGGGCATTTCGGTTCGGTTCTTCAGAACTGGACCGAACCAAACCGTTAAAACAGTATTTTTCTCGACCCGAAACCGCTGTTATTTACCGAACGGTACCATTTTTAGAGAATCAAATTTTTCCGGAACTGAACCGAACCGAACCAAACTTTAAAAATCCCGAAAAACTGAATATTTTTAAAGGAAATCTATCATTTTTTTAATAAAACCCGGAACCGAACCAAACCGATACCGAAACCGAACCGAACCGAATACAATAAAAAACCCGATTGGTACCTATTTTTGTAACACCGAAAGAACCGAACCGATTCATTCCGTCCCGAACCCGAACCGTTTCCCGAAACGCCCACCCCTGGTTATGTTACATAAATATCAAATAAAAATAGAAAATAATATTTACACATATATATTGGTATATTATTCATATTTTGGTTCATAAATTATGGAATTCGGTTTGGTGTTTGTACGATTCGGTTTGAAAATAATTTATTCGGTTAGTGTCAGGTCCATCTCGAACCGAAATTTCTACCCTACTCTCTCTATTTTGTTTTATTCTCCTGTAAAGATTATGATTAGAGAAAAAAGTCGTGTTTGCATGCCGAGATTACAAGGGACTAAAAGGTGGATGTTTTAGTGGAGTTATTTATAAAATATACTCCAAACGAATCATATATAAGGGGATTTGTTTGATATTCTCCGCTCGATTCATGAACTTAGTATATTAATTAGTCTATACTTAGATAATACGTCATTTGATATACATTTTTTTTATAATCATAATACTTCTCCGCACCTTTAGTCCGACTACATCCACCTTAGGCACGAGACCAATCTTCGCATATGGATCATTTTGGTCCAGAAATTATATCATTTCCCACCAATAGAATCGAATCCAGAACCTTGAAAATAAAATTTTCAGCTTTCAAGCACAAATATTTGGGTATTTGGTGTATTACACATTAATAGTTATATGTTTTTTTTTGTGTTAGCAAAAAAAAATATAACAACATAAATGTGAGGATAAAAACATATCAAAGTACTAGAATTCATAGTTATAACTAGCAAGTAATATAATACATATACGTTTTTTTTTTAAAAAAAGGTTTTGTGAAATAATGGAGAAATAAAAAAGATTTTTTTTTTCATTTTTTGGTTTAAAAAAAAATTGAGAAGCTTGTCCACCAAAATTATACTGAAAATGGGCAGTAGTCTCTTCAAGTGCGTATAAATAGAGTAAAAACACAGCACAACAGTTCCAAAAAAAATAAATAAAGGGATTAAGACAGAGGAAGGTGAGAAAATTTCAAAGCGAGGTTCTCGGGAACTAATCAGGAAGAGAAGGTGCGGAATCGGAGAGAGAGAGCGAAGACGAAGGCGATGTTCGAGATGACCATTTCTGGAATTTTCATGGTGCTTATGCTGCTTCTCATCTCCTTCCTCATCATCTTCGCTTGCAAGCCATGGCGCTTCCTTTCCGGCCTCCGATCCTCCAGCCTCTCCGCCTTCAAGGTACCATCATCTCTCCCTCTCTCGTGTTCTATCTCTGTCTCTCTTCAACGTCGCACGATCCCTAGCACGATGATCGATCGTGAGTTCGAAAAGCTTGATCATATTAATGACCTCATTTTCGTCGTTGGTTCACGCTATTCGCATTGTCCTGATTTGTAAGAATTCGGAAAACCTAGATTCTGCGAGTATTTCTTGTTTTTCTCTCTATTCGTGAGTTTAGGGATCGTGTCAACGTAGGTTGGGTTTTTACTGAAGAATGTGTGAATGAGACACTGCTTCCGAACCTGTGAATGTCGGAGAAATTTCGGCCCCTTGATAGTGCCTGCTCTCCTGATGAGATTGATTTGTAGCTCAAATTCAGATGGATTCGTCTAGATTAAGATTTTTGTACCTGGATTTTTCTGACCTGCTAAATATGTAGGAAAACTGTAACTTCCAAGAAGCCAAATTGGCTATCTTTGGATTTTTATCATGCCTGGTCTGTGGCAGTAATCAATCAAGATTTTGACGAGATTGCGAGTTTCTAAACCTGTCGCTGTTGCATGTGGACCAATCCCGTCATTTGGAAACACTTTAACTTTTCGATCGTGAACCTGTTCATGCCAGAAGTCTATCTACGAGGAATATATTGTTTCTGTGTTTGGTGCTTGGTGCGTATCTTACTGCCCCAAGTGAGGCTCTATTCGCACTGGAAATTCCACGTGATTTCACATATATTTCACTTATAGTATAATTTGATCTGATGCCGTCCTTGTGCAATTGCTGTATGGCTTGGTTAACATAAGGTTTTGTAAGAACTATATCCGGAAAGTTATTATTAGATTCGTAAGATCTGGAAATCCTTTCTCTACTGAAGTGAGTTTCTCAATTCTTGGCTACAGAAGATCCAATCTATAGAACCCTTTTGTTTTCAGTCAGAGTCTTAAATCTTGATACTTTTCGACGCAGTCTCTGCAGGCAGGGGATCTACAAAGACCCCTAGTATCTGATGATGGAAACTTGGTCCAAGGCCAAACCAGCGAGTTAACGAGGGAATATGACCTCGAGGGAGCTTGCTACCAAAATGAAGGGCTTTTGCATTCATCTCTAATAGAGGAATGCGATTACAAAGATAGGATTCCTTCTTCCTCTCCCCATTTCAACCACGGTAAGCCTTTCCATCAGAGAGAATGATTGAGTCTACATCGTCATATCCTAAGGAAAGTTGGCAATTAGTATGAGACCATCATCTTTGTGTTATGAACTATACACATTCATTGTTATTTACCTTGTCGATCTGGTTTTTCGCTTCTGTAGGCGAAAGCTTGGTGGTAGAAGTGATTTCTGAACATTTTGGGGACGTTTCGCTGGGCCAGACGCTTAAACAACAAGCTGAAAAAGGTCAATTAGCAGAAGTGAAAAAGTCCGATTGGCAGGATAACCAAAGTCAAAATTTGAAACATGATCGAGAAAGTGATGGGCTTAGGGAGCTTTCTCTGAAACCGGTCAAAGATAAGAGTAAATTCTCTTGCTTTTGCCAATCCTAGTGGTGTAGTGCAACTTGTACTACCTTTTTGTTGATTGTGCAAGACATATATCATATCTTTTTGTTAGAAGTGCAGGAAGTTGGCTGTCTTTGGAGGTCATTTCTGGTCCCTCTATTGGGCTTCAACTTTCTGTGGACTCCACAAGTACGAAGCTGCCCGTGATCCTTGGGAGGGTTTCTCCTAGTCATTTATTAGTGAAAGATGCGGAGGTTTCTGGGAAGCATGCTCAAATAAACTGGAACTCCAATGTAATGGACAGTGTAAATTCATTTACTTTGCTTCTGCAGGTCTCTCATGCATTATGTATACTTCGTGCCTGAGTTTGGTTTCAGAAATTAAAATGGGAGCTGGTAGACATGGGTAGCCTAAACGGAACATCCTTAAACTCTCGGTCAGTTAGCCATCCTGATTCAGGTAGCCGACACTGGGGTGACCCAGTTGAGCTTGCAAGTGAAGATATATTAACTCTGGGTACAACCACAAAGGTCTTTGTAAGTCGGCTCTAGCAAATGAAGGTTCTTGTATGTGATTTTTCATTTCCCTTAGTCGCTCTTTTATGCAACTTCGTTCATCTTTGGAAGGTTTGCATCTCAAATCAGAATGAGTATCAGATGCCCTTCAGGATTGGCGTGGCCTCAGATCCCATGGCTTTACGTCGAGGAGGCAGGAAACTTCCAATGGAAGATGTTTGCTATTACCAGTGGCCGCTTCCTGGGGTTGACAAGGTTCCCTGGATTGCTAATTTCCTCAACTAGCAGGGACGTTGCCATTTTTTTGGGTTCAGCTGGCTAATAGATATCTATATACATATTTAAACTGTTGCAGTTTGGCCTGTTTGGTGTTTGTGATGGACATGGAGGGTCAGAGGCCGCTCAAGCTGCAAGCAAGTTAGTCACTTTTTCCAACTTTCGTTCATTTTTTCATATTTATCGTTTCCTGACAAATTCCTTATTTGTGCGCTTTCCTTTTACATTTATCCTTCCAAAGCTGCTTAGTTACTTGGATGTTAGTTCATTCTGAGAATGGCTGCAGTATGCAACTTATCTAACATTTATCTGGGTTCTCGAAAAATTATCGTGTTTCCTTTACTTTATCTTAATGAAAGTTCAGTAGCTGGAACAACTATCTTTTGAATTATCTTCTTTTAGGTACTCTTAGAACTTGAAGACTTAACCTAAGTAAACTTCAATTCCAGATTTTTCCCCGAGATTTTGGCGAATATTTTGTCAGACTCGGTGAAAAGGGGTAAAGTATTATCACAACGTGATGCTTCGGATATCCTTAGGGATGCCTTTTCAAAGACAGAAGCTTGCTTGGATCACCTTTATGAGGTTGCTTCCTGTCTTGTCCTGTTCTGTTTTCTTTTTTCCTTTTCATTTTGCTTTTTGGTGGTTACATTCCCTTATGACTTTGGCCTGGAATTTTTTCATTGCTTTCTACTTTCTATGAACCAGTCTGTCTGATGCAGGGTTGTACAGCAACCGTTCTCTTGGTTTGGGAAGATGGTGAAGAAAAATTCTTTGCACAATGTGCTAACGTTGGGGATTCAGCCTGTGTTATCAAGTACATACGGAAATTTATCACTCTTTTAAGATTCGTAGTTGTTGTCTGTGTCTGAAGTAGAAACTCGTGGAAGAATAATTTAGCAACTCTTAATTCTCAAGCAGTGTTTTTCTCAGACTTTCCAATGGCTTCTTTGTTTATCTTTTTCCTTGTTTTGAATGATTAACGATTTGGTTTCTATATGGCAGTCTCGATGAGAAATACATACAGATGACCGAAGATCATAGACTGACTAGTGCTTCTGAGAGACTGCGGATGCAAAAAGTAGGATTGCCTCTGAGAGATGGGGAGAGTCGACTCTTTGGTAAGACAGGAATTTAATTCTTTAACCGTAGTGGAAGGTCCTTGAACAATCCGATTTTTTTTTCAGGTATAAACCTTGCTAGGATGCTCGGAGACAAGTTTCTGAAGCAACAAGATATCCGTTTCAGCGCCGAGCCATATATAAGTGAGCCAGTACGACTTGATCAAGCGAGAGATGTATTTGCTCTGCTGGCAAGGTTGACGTTAATTACCTTGAAGAAAAAAAAAACTCTTTTAACTTTTTTTTTGTTTCTGGGATTTGGCTAAAAGAATGAAATGAAAATGGATGTGTGGCAGTGATGGACTATGGGACGTGGTCAGTGTGAAGAAGGCTGTCCAGCTTGTTCTTAAGGTAAAACTACTAATCTCTCTCATCATTTGATAGGTCAGGTCGTGTCTGAATGTGTTGTGTTAAAAAACCAGATGAGAGAGGAGGGAGGAAGAGAGGATGAGGCTGAGGAGATCGCAAACAGTCTGTTGAGAGAGGCTCGGACAATGAGGACAAAAGACAACACTTCCGTTGTTTACTTGGATTTCCACATCTGATGTATGTATATGCTCAAAAAAAAAAAAAAAAAAAAAAAACGAGGCCAGTCACTTACTGTTAGTAATTTAGCATCAAAACCTCAGGTTACAGAGTGTTAGGTCAATGTCTATGTTTGGTCTCGTATCTTTTAATCATAATGATGATGATCCTTTGAAGCGTTCTGGAGGTCTGGGAAACGATCAAACGGCGTCGTTTTCATTCATAACCATTGAGCCTAAGGGTGGCCAATTCGGGTTTCGGTTCGGGTTCAGTTCGGTTATATTCGGGTTCGGTTATTTCGGTTATAGAAAAACTATAACCATTCGGTTTTTATATAAATTTCGGTTCGGTTATTTCTCGGTTCGGATTCGGTTCGGTTTTGGTAAAAAGTTCAATTTTTCAAAGAAATTATCGGTTATTCTCTCGGTTTTTTCGATTATTTTTTATTCGGTTCGGTTTCGGTTTCGGTTTTTCGGGTTTAAGGAAATCATAACCGTTCGGTTTTGATGTCGGGTTCGGTTCGAGTAGGGGTGGGTACGGGCAGGTACCCGGACTTTTTAGGGTACCCTTATCTCGATCTCGGTCTCGTCGGGTTTTTGAGAGAAATGTCTCGATCTCTATCTCACAAAACCCGGGTACCCGAGATTCGGGTACCCGAGACACGAGTTCGGGTTCTCGCGATACCCGAACCCGTGTAAATTTTTTGATGTCGGGTTCGGTTCGAGTAGGGGTGGGTACGGGCAGGTACCCGGACTTTTTAGGGTACCCTTATCTCGATCTCGGTCTCGTCGGGTTTTTGAGAGAAATGTCTCGATCTCTATCTCACAAAACCCGGGTACCCGAGATTCGGGTACCCGAGACACGAGTTCGGGTTCTCGCGATACCCGAACCCGTGTAAATTTTTTAAAAAAAAAACTAAACAAATATACAAAATCAATACATCAATAACATAAAATCCATACTCCAAAATATATCCAAAATACAATTGAATAAAATCCAAAATATATCATGATTCATGAGTAAAATTTAAACATGGATCTGTTTGGAATCATCATTCCCTCAAACCTAAATGGGTTAGATGCAAACCCACATGAGATTCATGTCCAAATTCACAATTTTTCCTGAGAAATTTCACCAGATTTTACGTAAACAGGGCCCTCTACGCGGTCGTCTCTTCTCGATCATTGACTTGGAAATTGATGCGTGTGAAGAATGAGAGTATCTCCCTAGCAACTTGCTTCGGCTCTTTCCTCACTCCGTCTTCGGTTACAAATGTTTTCCGCACTATCTAGAGCATTCAAATTTATAGTGAATCGAATGGAAAAATTGGTAACTAGAAGGATTTGGTAACCGATACGACAAAGAAGACAAATCGATAGCAACGCGCAAAAGTACCTGAATCTCCGGCGAATGACGAAGGAGGCGCAAGGCGGAGAAGGACAGACCGAGGGCGATCGTTTTCGCAAAGAGAAGGAGACTCGCAACAGCAAACACGTGAACGATGATCGATTTCGCTTCTGCAAACGGATAATGGAGAGAACGGCGAACAAAGGCGAACAAAAGCCAGAGAGAACGACGATCGTCGACCGTTTCTGTAAAGAGCCGCCGCAAATACAAATGAGAGAGAGAGAGAGTGAAGTGATGGTAAATTAGGGTTAGGGTTATTTGTGTGTGTGTATTAAATAATAAAGGATATTTTTGTAGTTTTTGAATTTTCCGGGTACCCGTGAGATAACCCGAGATAAAATTATTAAACTCGAACCCGAACCCGAAACTCGGGTTTTCTATCTCATAAAACCCGAACTGTGTCTCAACGTCTCACGGATATTGAATCCCGGGTACCCGCGAAATAAGGTACCCGGAAACCCGCGGATCTCGGGTAAAAATGCCCACCCCTAGATTCGAGTACGGTTATGTCTTATTCGGTTCGGTTCGGTTCGGTTATTCGGTTAATAACCGAAATGGCCATACACAATTTCATATGCGGTGAGGTGAGGTGCAATATTGTTCTCAGCTAATTTTGATGTTTCTTGGTCTTTGTTGTCTCAAGACAAAGTCTGACGATGTTCGATGATAGGTTGGATTACCCAATCGTGTGTGAAAAAAATAGTAAAAGAAAGTGAACAGAAAAGATGATGCAATTGATAAGCCCATTGTTATGGAACTCAGAAGAACCGACATACATACACACATGTTTTTAAGGGCCTGTACGGTTATGAAGTGGCCTCATGCAATAGATGTGAAAATAAAATCTTGAAAATAATCATGGGCCGAGTTATACAATGGGCCTGAGTCAAGTTGTAAAATGGGCCGTGAGATTCCCGCGTTAGTCACAACAGAAATAACGGAGAGAGATTTTTCAAAAAATTGGAAGAGTCAAATGTCTCTGACCTGTTCTTCTTGTTTCCGCACCATCACAGCAGGTCAACCCTCATTTTCCCACCTAAACCCCTCTCTCTCTCTCTCTCTCTCTCCCATGCCAACTGCCTTTCCTCCTCCGCCGTCATTCGCCGCAATGCTCCTCCTCCTCCTCCTCCTCCTCCTCCTCCTCCTCCTCTTCTGTCTCTTCTCCTCCTCTCTCTCTCAGCTCTCTCCTCCCTCAGGTCTCTCTCTCCCCCTGGTGTATGTATATCTGTGTGTATATATCTCTGTATATATTCCTAATCCGATTTTGAATTTCCCAGCGATTCTGATCGATTGCGGCTCCTCCGGTCCCTCCGTCATCGACGGCCGCCGATGGCTCTCCGACGAGGGTTTTGTCTTCGCCGGAACGCCGAAGAACATCACCATCGCCACTTCCGGGAACGTGCTCGACGGAACGTTAACCACCGTAAGATCCTTCCCTCTCGGCGGGGGCCTTCGCCGGAAGTTCTGCTATGTCGTAAGCGTCTCCCGAGGATGGAGATACATGATCAGGACGACCTACTATTACGGCGGAGTTAACGGCGTTGATTCTCCGCCGGTTTTCGATCAGATTGTTGACGGCCTTGGCATCGAACTTCATCGCACCTCGGACGGCATGTTCCTCTCACAACAAAAATACGTACTCGACTTACTCCGCGACACAGGGAAACTTGGGGCCAAACCTGTGACAACACCACTAGAGGCGGCCTACAAACAACAACGCGAGGGGGAATGTTTCCCGGATGTCACACTTTATCGGCGCGTTGTAGGTAAGTTAATTTATTTAACTATTACAAGGCCTGATATTTGTTTCTCCGTTAACCAGGTTAGCCAGTGGATGCATTCGCCAACCAAGGATCACTGGAACATGGTGAACCGAATTCTCAAGTATCTCAAGGGAACTCCAACTAAAGGCCTATGGATGAAGTGCAACAATGACGTCGGGATCACAGCATACTGCGATGCAGATTGGGCTGGAGACAAGAACGATCGGAAATCAACCACGGGCTACTGCACATTCGTTGGAGGAAACTTAGTGACGTGGAAAAGCAAAAAACAAACGGTGGTCTCAAGATCGAGTGCAGAAGCAGAATATAGAGCAATGGCTAACACTACATGCGAGATTATTTGGTTAAAGCATCTCCTTGATGACCTCGGGATTACTCCTACACTCCCGATACCTCTACACTGCGACAACCAAGCGGCGATGTATATAGCAGCTAACTCAGTGTTTCATGAGAGGACGAAACACATAGAAGTCGATTGTCATCTCATTCGGGAAAAAATCGTTCATGGGATCATCTCCACTGAGTACACCAAAAGCTCGGAACAACTCGCAGACATCTTCACCAAAGCTACGGGCGCATACATTCTGGATAAACTCCTCGGCAAGATTGGCCTCATTGATAATCGAGGTCCAATCTTGAGGGGGAATGTTGGAGTCGACACTATGGAGATACACGAACAGGTCAATGACGATGATCTTGCCTCTGAGTTGGGCAATTCTCATATGAGAATCCGTGATTGAATGGCTGAGAATATGCTAATATATTCTCAGTTCCCACAATAAGGAAAACTTCCAATCTGTACAAATCTGTTTCCTTATCCTATTATGTTTCTCTTAGTATATGTACGAGTCATTGTAAACACCAACATTTATCAGAGAATAAGAGTATTCTTTTCTTCCTTCTGGTTGCTCATCAAACCTAGCTTTTCCTCTTATTCAATTGTGCAGCCTAAGGTTCCGAGGGTCTTTCACATGGTATCAGAGCCTCAGGGCTACTGATTGTTTGCATCTTTCTCGGAATCCCTGCATTTCTCTCTGTTTTTTTTTTCCCTCCCCACATACTCTGATTTTTCGTTCTATTTTTTCGGCCTAAGCATGGATCTGAATGCCCCGAAAACAATCCCTGTGCTTCTCACAGGAGACAACTACTTCTATTGGTCTAAAGCCGCTAAGGCTATTCTCAAGAGCCGTGGCCTTTGGGAACATACAACCAAAACGCAAGCCACGCCTGAACCTGCTGCAGCAGATGGAGAAGCTCGGACTCGTACAGATCCGACCATTGATTGGGTGAAAGACGACAATCTCGCCCTTGCCATTCTTCAGAGTTCGTTGGACTCTAATGTTCTCAGATCATTCATTGCCTTGGAGACTACTAAGGAGCTTTGGGAGGCCCTTCAAAATGTCTATGGTAATGTCAGTAATCTCTGTAGAATCTTTGAACTCAAGAAACGTATGTTTGCTCTGCAACAGAATGGCAAATCTTTCAATGCAATCCATGGAGAATTCAGCTCTCTCTGGACCGAGTTAGAGGAATTGCGCCCTCCTACAGTGGACATCAAGGCATTCAAAGATAGGTTGGAGCAGGATAAGGTTTTCTCAATCCTTCTTACCCTTGACAGTTCGTATAACGACCTCATATATCATATTCTTCGACAAGACAAGCTCCCGAAATATGATGAAGTCTGCATGATGATTAAAAGGGAGGAAGGAGGACATAACCTTTTTGCAGGTCCAAGCGAGTTAGCTCATTATCGCCGAGGTCCGCACCAGTTTTCTGCAGCTTCTGCCCAGGGTCGTGACCGACGCAATATCTCGTGTGATCACTGCAAGAAGCAAGGTCATTCCAAGGAGCGATGCTGGCTTCTCCATCCTCACCTGAAGCCTGCAAGGTACAAGGAATCACCAACCACACGTGATCAGGCGATGACAGCAGCCGCTACAACTCTGTCCTTTACGCCTGATGAAGTCCAAGGTTTTAAGCAGCTTCTCCTTGCCATGAAGGACAAGGAGTCGGGTAATGTTATTTCTGATCCCGCGTTATCTCTTAATGCATCTCTTATTGTTGATTCGGGAGCCACTAACCACATGATTAGTGATCCGACTCTGTTACGTGATCTTCGCAAAATTTTGGGAAAGGTAAGTGTCGCCGACGACCAAACTGTGCCGATTTTAGGACAAGGCCAGTTAACTGTTTTTGACAAACATGTTCCTGCGTTTCATGTCCCGGATTTTCATACCAATTTACTGTCCATTTCTGCTCTTACAAATCAACTCAATTGCTCGGCTACTTTTGATTCTAACCAAGTTATATTTCAGGATATTGACACCGGCAAGACACTTGGAAAGGGAATCAAGAAGGACAACCTCTATGTGCTAGACAATGTTGATTCTCTTTCTGAGCACGCATTTGTTTCTCTGTGGCATGCAAGACTAGGCCACCCTCATGATAGAGCTCTCAAGATGCTTGTTCCTAACTCGCGTTTAGATAGCTCTCTTTGTGAGGCGTGTGTGTTGGGAAAGCATCGCCATAGTGTGTTTCCGCATTCTACTACTCGTTATGAACATTGTTTTGATTTAATTCATTCGGATGTTTGGACATCTCCCATTTTATCTCGGGATAATAAAAAATATTTTGTTTCTTTCATTGATGAGAAGTCCAAATATACGTGGATTTACCTCTTATCAAACAAAAGTGATGTTTTTGATGTTTTTAAAATGTTTCATGCTTATGTCACTAACATCTTTGATTGCAAGATTAAAACTCTCCGAACGGACAATGGTGGAGAATTTATGAATCGGAAGTTCCATGCCTTTCTTGCGTCTAACGGTATTACCCACCAACACTCGTGTCCCTACACGCCTCACGAAA